ATCTTCACCCTTAATGACTATGTCCTGCCACTGTGTATAGGGTTTATTCACTTTCATTCTGCATGAGTGTGGGGCATGGCAACATAGATATATGTAAGTGCTTTAATTAACATTGGGGAGGGAAATTTTTTTTGCCTTTAATGTCACTTTAAGTTAAATTGTAGTGTGTTTCACGTCAGTGCCACAGAAAGTATTGACTCCAATGGACCATCATAATAGCCAGTATTTGTAGTATATGTAGCTAGTATTTAAGAGGACTCAGTAATGGCAAGCTCCATTATCTCGTAGTACAGGTACCTATCAGTTGTTCTCATTAAAGGATAATTAAAGCCTAAGTTTTTTTTGCATAGATCTACTACTGGCAAGCAGTAGATCTATGTAAAAAGTGTAAAAAAAATAACAAAAACGCTTTAACAGAGGTTAATACTCACCTGTGTCTTCCCTGCGCGCTCCCGTCCGAAAATGTGAAGATCCTCGTGCGGCCACAAAGCATCTTGGTGCGGGCGCATGCGCAGTTCACATTTTCGGCCATGACGCGAGGAGAGACACAAGGTAAGTCTATGGACGTGTGCACCCACAGGCAGACACCGTGTGACAGGAAGTGCCAGCAAGGACAGAAGAGTCAGCGCTGGATCGGAGACCCGCCGCAGCGCTGGAGGGACAGATGGAAATGACAGGAAAGAAGATCAGATTAAAAAACATAATTTAAGATAAGTGCTTCCATTAACATTGGGGGGAGGGAAAAACATTGACTTTGTCACTTTAAGACATCTGCACACAGAAAAAACAAGCTTCATGTCCTATCATGCATGACCAACTCTCAGCTGCCTTCTGTATGATATATTTAGAAACATAGAAAATTGATGGAGGAAAAAGACCAAGAGGTCCATCTTTCTTTTTTTAAATTATTTTTGTATAAAAATAGAACAATGTTTATCACATGCATGTTTCAATGAACTTAGTACATTATGTTAATGTTGTATTATTCAATTAACCCCTTTTTAATGTTTTTGTTTTACAATATATTCGTGACTTTTACCAAGAAGAAAACGTTTAAAGCAAACCTAAGAAATAAGTAGCAACTAAATTAGCACTACCATTGCATAGTTCATCATATAGTCATCAATACACTTGCTAGGAACATAGTTCATTCTGCATCTAACTTTTAGCCCACCACCGCAATGAACAGCCTCACTGATCAATAAAGGCGTGGGGAAGGGAAGCAGGGCACAGCTAATGACCATATTAGCTTGGCTGGTATTTGTGTAACAAAGTATCCTGGGTTTTGGATCATCTGGAGCTGTCTAATAGAAAGCTATACTGTATGATGTCAATGCTATGTCATATAAATGCTACTTTAGTTTTTACCAGGTGCTCTTTCAGTACTATGTAATAATCTATTGTTTTCATACAGGATTTACACATGTTTTCAATGTAATGGAATTAGAAAATGTAAATCTTGAGCAAATGTTGTGTAAAACCATTTAACTATAATTATCAGGAAACCTATAACTCTTTCTTTGAAAAATTAAAAACAAAAACATATTTTTATGGTTCCCAGTGCCTCTGTTTTGTATGTACAGAAATCTGAATCGTTGGGCATAGGGTGGTCACTTCTATTTCTCAAGATGGAACTGCTGGACAAAATATGGACACATTACAGCTTCCCTATTGAAATGTGACTTTCCCAAATTTGTTCTCTTCGTCTCCTCATCGGAATAGCTTTGTGGAGGAGGAAGGCTTTCAACATCTAGATATGGTGAGTGAGAGGTGGCAGCAATGGGGAAGTCTGTTTCAGGTATGTTATTATTGATCTTCAAGGACTTTTTTATGCAACTGATATGTGTCAGAACTGGGTGTGTGGAAAGGCCTCTTTAAGCTGTATTCTAAGGGCCCTTACTCGCCTTTGCACAAATGATTGTGCATTGTTATGCATCACATTAAACATGAACCAGTAGCCAGGATATGAATATCCAAGTGCCTGTTCTGTGCAGGCTGTAAAACTGACATGTCATTGCTGAGAGCAGGTGAGCTGCTGAGAAACCAAATAGAACCGGCTTCAGTGCTCTGTTATGAACTTGAATGCTAAATTTCTCCATAGCGCCTGCAGCTACAGAGTTCAGGGAAGGCTTTTTGTTAAAGCCCATTTGCTGCTTTATAGGAATAGGTACATATTGCAATGCCTATAGTCTGGCCACAGGTTCACTTTAAGTCAATCCATTCACTATGAATGGACTCCTAATGCCAATCAACACACAAAATATTGCACTTGAACTATTTTAGCACTGCAGCACAACACAACTGTTCATCGTAGTGTGATATAATGCAGGCATATTTGTTTTTACTCTATACATACATCGGGGTGCCTTTAAGAATGAATGGGTTTTAACATGTGATCACAAGTGAAAAAGTGTAAATCCAGCCCAAGGCAGTAACATTTTTACCAGGCCTGCAGGCCACCTCTTGTTTCATTTTCTCGTGACATCACTCCAAGGTTGGCATGGAAACAGAATAAAATATGGTAACATAGAGAGGTGCCTAATTATAATCTGCTCTTAGGTTTTCTTCAGCCTGACTAGCAAGGTGAAAGTTACACGAACAACCTTATTCAGTAAGGCAAAGCACAATAGTTTTAGCAGCTAATCAGAATTTCACAATGAACTCAGTAAAAATAATGTGTTTGGTTACTGAGAGTTTCAAGTCAGTTTGTGTACCAGACAGAATAACAAGCAATGCAAAAAACACAATTACCTCTGTCCAGCAGTTGTGAAAAGGATCATAGGCCTCAACACTGTACATTCTCTGGCTGCCATCAAAGCCACCTATTGCATACACTTTGCCACACAGTGCTGCCATCTTGTGCCTCCACCTGCCCACATTGAGAAATTCTATTTGTATCCACTTATTGATGGAAGAGTTATATTTCCAAACGTCATTCTGTGTTTCTTTTCCACCTAAAACAGCAAGTAATTTGGCATTGTAGATATGAATACTCATTTGAACAGTGAAAAAACACAAATTCTCACTACATAAAGAAATAAGTATATATATATGTAAACAATAAAGAAAGGAGATTAGTAGCCCACCACTCTCCTTGGAATGGGTGATCCAAATTAGTCTTGTATCCAAACTTTCATTCCAGACCCTTTCTGAAAAAGCAGTTCCATATGGCCAAAGCTCCCAATGAACCAAATGTAAAAAGCAAGGAAATGTTGAGTTAATAAATCTTTGGTAAATGCTTGGGGTTAAATCAACCAGCTCCTTTTATATCTTTCATAGATAATGAAATCTGTAGGTTACTTAAAATACCACATGCTTTGCCCATGTACAACAAAGCAAAAGGTTCACGTAAATGCGAGTTGTGCATGTTGCACATACTTACCTTCCTTTTACTCACCCCCAGTGTGTTCATATGTAGGGGAAAAAGAGAAAAAGACCTGTGTAAGCTGATGGGCTATATGATCAAAGTTTACACAGAACTTAGGACTCTGCCCAATTCACTATGTGGCAGCACTGGTGTTGTCACAATGTCCTGGAATCCATGTCGGATTTTCCCTAGTGTCCCCTGTCCATGCCTGATTTTCCCCTTGATCCCCGATGCTTGGCTGTCAGCCTATGGTGTTTCGCAGGGCTGCAGCCAATCTTTGCACTTCCTCTCCTATTTAGGATTACGACCGTAGTTGCTCTGGGTTTGAGCATGCCTGCACGGGTGTGTCAGAGGGCTGCAACCTGGAAGGTGTCCTGCCGCACAATCATCTTCGCCATTGGAGGCTCTGTGGAACACCAGGTCCCCCTTAGATTCTGCGCCTCTGGCACAACCTGGCATATTGTGCAGACACCCAGTTCTAGCCCCCTGTGTCTGGACTCCCCATCACAACCTGGCATATTGTGCAGACACCCAGTTCTAGCCCCCTGTGTCTGGACTCCCCATCACAGTCACCTTAGTCCCTGGTTTCCTTGTGACCTGCGTCCCTGGTATCACTTCAGTTTCCTAGTCCTGTTCCCTGCTTCAGTCTGCTCCGCAAAACCTGGAGCTCACGTTTCCCAGTGCCCCGGTCCCCAGATCGTGACAGGTGCCTGGCGACTGACTGCTCAGTTAACAGCAACCACAGTAAGGCCAACCAACATGCTTTGTGGTCAACAGGGGGATGAAAAGAGTAGGAAGGGAAGGGTTACTGCACAACAACGAGAGTTCCGCTTGCTGTTTGAGTCCTAAAGTACTCCAACATTTTAGGCTACCAGGATGCTATCATGAAATTTGCATTTTGAAGAAAAGAGCAGTGAAACCACTCACAAGACAAGACCTAAAACTCCAAAGTAGGCATGAACAGAAAAAGGAACTATGGCGTAGAAAGTACACCACTGGGACTTCCAAAAGATATAGAAGAAAGCAGTTGATACTTTCTCTCAGGCTACACTTGTGACACAAATACAACTTGTTGGTAGAAAAACATTTTTAAACATTCTATCATGGTTCTTACATTAGTCATACAATGCTACACCTACACATTGGGTCAAACCTGACCTCACAGCTGGAACTCCAAAAAGAGACAATGTTATGTACTTACAGGGACCCTGCTGGGATTTACAGAACTTCCCTGGGAATCCCAGCGAGGACTTCCAGAATACTTGCCAGTACCTCATATGGTACCCACAAGATCCCTGCCAGTACTTCTAATGGGACTCACAGAATTTAGGCCAGTATTTCTAATAATAGTCAAAGAATCCATGCTAAAACTTTCAGAATGCCCTGAAACTATGTCCGACCTCTTTCCCCTGATCCAAAAGGGTACCTTAGCATCAGCTCTGGAAGTGGCTGTTGCTGTGTCCATAAACCAGCTATCCTGTTTGTGTGAAGAGCTATAATACTTACGTTTGTTATTGTTTTGCTGACCAGGACCACCCGACCACTCTCTGCTTGCCGCTTGCCTTGAACTCTGCCTGGATCCAACTACCTTATGCTCTAGTCTCCTGCCTAGCCTACGTACTGCTTGTTGCCAACCTTGTTGCATGCCTGACTATTCTCTGCTAGCCACCTGCTTCTACCTCTGCCTCAACCCAACTATGCTCTCTTCTCCTGTCTTGTCTGTGCTAGCCACCTGCTTCTACCTTTGCCTTAACCCAACTATGCTCTCATCTCCTGTCTTGTCTGTGCTAGCCACCTGCTTCTACCTTTGCCTTAACCCAACTATGCTCTCATCACCTGTCTTGTCTGTTTACTGATTATTAGATGCAGCTTTTCACAGATTGGTGAACCTCTGCCCATCGTTACTTCTGGGACATGCTGATTCTCTAAAGGTGCCCATACACCTGCCGATTATCTTAGATAATCGTGGGTGATCCCGCGATCATACGATAATCGGCAGGTGTATGGGCCGAGTGCGACCTCTTCTACTGTAAGGTCACACGACATTCGTCTTCCGAGCACACTTGAAAACCTGCTAAAAATCGTACGATTTTCGGCTGGTTAGTGGCGTGCCCGGGAGACGAATGCCGCATGGGCAGTTGTGCACACTGCCCGCTCAGCACTGCAATCATCGGAAGTCCTCCCCTCAGCTGGGAGGGCTTCCGATGATCGCAAGTACGATATGCCTGTCCAAGATGCACAGATCGTACAAAATTTTAATTACCTTACAACCATCGCGCAACGAAAGTCGCGTGATGGTTGTAACGTGTATGGCCAGCTTAAGATGCTCTTTTTATACCCAGTCATTTTAGTGACCTGTTGCCAATTAACCTAATTAGTTGCAATATGTTCTTCCAGCTCTTCCTTGTTAGTATCTCTTACATTGCCAGATTTTTGCTGTCCTGTCCCAACTTTTTTGAGACATGTTGCTGCCATCAATTTCAAAATGACCTTGTTTTTTTCTTAAAATGGTCCATTTTCTCAGTCTAAACATTTGATATGCTTTCAATTTTCTATTGTGAATACAATCTGGGTTTATGAGATTTGCGAATCATTGTATTCTGTTTTTATGTAGATTTTACACAGCGTTTTACGGAATTCGGGTTGTAAAACGAATTGGATATATTTCCAACTATCTGTACGTTTCTAGAAATAAATATATTGTTAGATGGACTCTGTATTAGATTACCAGGAAATCAAATGAACAAGAGGACAGATTCTTGAAAAGAGACAAGCGTGGAAAAGCAATGGAGTGACAATTAGCTGTGTTGTTAGTGTTAGGCTAGAATATGTCCTCCCGTGACCCTAAAGAGAACTATGGGTAAAAACACTTACCCCATAGTTTTCTTTGAAAGACAAAAAAATTCCAGATGAACATAACTGTGATATTACATTACTGACATTTGTCTTAACTGCGGTGCTTCTTCAATCTGTCAAGTGTATTTTCCATCAACAAATTCACCGAACAAACTTTGTATTTATGATAAATTAGTACCCAGCCTTCTATGCACATACTGTACGTCCCAACTGTCCCTCTTTTGGAACCAAGTCCCTCTGTCCTCCTCTGTTGTCCCTCTTTTAGGTCTGATGTACGGATATCTATTAAAAGGTTCTATTTAACTACCAAATGTGTTATTCTGCACTCAAACTTTCATCCCATCCTAATCTTCATATTGTAATTATCTTATTTAGTTTTTTTTGTTTTTTTTAAACATTATAAAGAGAAACTAGGAGGGTGGCAGGGGTGTGTCCATTGCCTAAATACATTGAGCTAGAAGGTGTTCCTTTTTCTCATCTCAAAAAGTTAGGAGGTATGCGGCTTATAGAATTTGGTATTATTTTGTATAGTATTAAAAATAAGCATGAGATGAGACAAAGGTAAAGTGGAGGCGAAATTATAACTCATTTCACCCAAAGCCCCCACCCCTCGCCCTCCCCAGCACCACATTTGTAACAAGAACTAGAAACCTCAGACATTTCATTGCTCCAGGTGCGGACTTACGTGGGACTCTTTAGCTAAGGTTGGACGCGTTTCAAAACCAACATGTTTGTGATGATTACACTCTCAGACACCAAATATGATATGAATCTATGAATCTTATGTATGCCTCCCTTAGGAGGCTTGTTGTATCATAGTAATATCCTGAACCTTCTAGTACATGCATTTTTGGTGTCTACCTGATTGGTGTTTTCTTACATATTAGTGCAAACACTTTTTATGAAGATAACTCAATCACAGCAGGAATTATGAATTATGTATAAAACCTGGCTCTAATAGCAAAATATGGGTATAAACAGACTCACAAATGTATTATCCTGAGTTGTTCTGCAGACTGTTTACCATTTGCTTTATGGTAAACCCGTTAGAAATCTTTTACAGACCATAGCTAGTGGGGTTTATTATATTTCTTGCATCTTAAACTATTTCTGTAAATTGTACTTTAAGGTGGATTTTTTTTGGATCAAATGTGTATCCTTACGTGGCTGCCGAGCATAGACATGAGATTTAAATCTGCCCATTTCTGTTATCTACTTGGTGGAAATGAGGGTGGCCCTGTGTTCAGTTTGGGGTTTGTCACACCTCTTTACCACAATGTTCTTAATCATAAGACTTTTCTACTTCTAATAAGTTGGCAGGAAAGGTAAGGCTGAGCATAGAGGCAGCAATGGCAGCGGCTTGTATTCAACACGTGTGTGTAGCATCGGTTGGTGTTCCCTTTAAGGGGCAACAATGATGCAACCATGCAGAAATCTACTGCCCTATTGCTAGGGGTGGGCTTTTATCCTGCGATGCGGCAGCACCCAATCAAAGTCTTTCCATACTTCCCTTTCTCTCTGTGGTGTCAATCAATGCCAGGGAGGGAGAAACAATCTGCAACCAAGGTGAGCAGTCAGCAGGATATTGCGCCTTGGTCACAGAACAGCAACAGGGCAGTATATTTCTGCATGGTTGCCACAGCCGAAGGAGGACAGGAGATGAGCGGAGCCTGGGGAGAGGGCTCAGGGCTAAGTCTGCTGGGAGCATTTGGATAGTGTTGTTGTGCCTTGGGCTAGGTGTGCCATAAGCCCAGAACCATATGCTGCCATGCAGGGATCAGGCTGCTGCTGGAGCTGTGCAGAGCAGAGTGCTGTGGATGGAGCCATTTTGTTTTGAGGGACTAACTGCAGAGAGAGCTACTGTGTAAGAGAAGTACAGGGCTGAGCCACAAGAGGATTTCCAAGGAGTGCAGGCTTGAGAGATGAGATCAGAGTTCTGGGCTGCCTTTCACCTCATCTCTCACAGAAACTGCTATTATCAATCTACATCTATCCTTTCCTTAGGAGAGACCAGTGGGGAACCATATGTGCCTGGGAGGACATAAGCAAGGCACCAGTGTGATGAGAGGCCTATGGGCCACCACTGTCATTTTTCGGAGGTCTTTGAATAAATGACTAAAAAATGTAGGTTTAGTCACCTTCATACAGTGGTCAGCAGATCTTACAACAAATGACAATATTTATCTGAATTTAATTCATACGACTGAATGCACAAGATAAACCATAAGATATACTGTGGGCAGATGTTCTGTTCAGTAGTGATGATCCGAGTTCGGTTCAAATTCAAACTTTACAACATCCAAAAAGTTTGAATTCGAACTCTAACCCAATGCAAGTCTATGGGGGTAGAACTTTCAAAAACAATTGTCCCCTTTAAGAGTGCTTATATGCACATTATTGGCCATAAAAAGTGTATGGGGATCTGGGTACTGCCCTGGGGGACAGGAATCAATTAAATATATATATATATATTTTAAATACTGCTTTTAAAGGAGCAGTGATTTTAACATGACTTAAAGCAGGGGTAGCCAAACTCCGGCCCTCCAGCTGTGGTGGAACTACAAATCCCATGAAGCATTGCAAGATTCTCACAGCCACAGACATGACTCCCGGAGAGATATGCATCATGGGATTTGTAGTTTCACCACAGCTGGAGGGCCGGAGTTTGGCTACCCCTGACTTAAAGGGTAACAATAAAAATGAAAAACTCCTTTAAATATCGTTCCCTTAAACTGCCTGTAAAGTGGCAAATCTGTACCATGAGAGCCCCCTCCCAAACAATACCAGACCCTTTAGGTCTGGTAGGAATGTTAGGAGGGACCAAATTTAAAAAAAAAGTGTGGGGTTCCCCCAAAAGTGATACCAAACCCTTAAGGTCTGGTAGGAATATTAAGGAAAGACCCCATGTAAAAAAAACAAAAAGGTGTGTGGGGCTCCCCCTCAAAGTCATACCAGACCCTTAAGGCCTGGTAGGATTTTTAGGAAGCACCCCACCCCCAAATATGGGGGGGGAAACATAGGGTCCCCCCTAAAATTCCTAACCAGACCCTGGATCCAAGCCGATGGAGACAAGAGCCTCTTCCCCACAAGCTCTGGGGCGTTGGTCGTGGGGGTGCAACAGGGTGCTTATTCACATCAGGGTACCCTTTTAATAAAGGGGCACCCAGATGCCACCCCCCCTTGTAAATGAGTAAGGGGTACTTGTACCACGACCCATTCACTAAATGATTAAATAAAATTGTAAATAAAAAGTCCAGACTTTTGAAAAAATCCTCCTTTATTTGGAAAAAAAACAGAAGACATTTTTTTAACAAGTCTTTTATTGAAAAAAAAAAAAATTGATCCACCGATGCAATCCAGGGTCACTCACGACGTCCAGCATTGACGACGACGACTCGACAAAATAAAAAATAAAACAATAAAAAAAAATAGAAATAATAATTTTTAAAAAACTACCGCCGTCCCGTCCGCTGTGACGAACACCCGCCGCATAATAGCATTTTGAATTGTAAAATATAAACATTTGGGTAGAGCTTGCAGTGACAGCTAGCTCCGCCCAACTGTTTACAGTTTTGACAGGTGAGCCATGATTGGGCAGTCATCATAATTTTGCCCAATCATGGCTTCACAGTTCTCTGTGCTCTGATTGGGCAAAATCTTGCACCAGACCTGTGGTCAGCTGCAAGGCTTTAGCCAATCAGGGCTCACAAGGCACAGTGCCCGCCGAACACCCTGACAGTTCGTGTGTTCGCGGAACACACGACCTGCCAATGTTCGAGCTGAACTCGCATTCGACTCGAACATCGAGCCCAACACTACTGTTCAGTTGACTAAATTTCGGAATATTTATCTGTTTGAGCTATAACCACAGATGTTTTTCAGTGTAAACATGCATTTCTTAACATCTTCCCTTTACTATAGAATATTCCAGACAAGAAAATGGAATAATGTTTAATTTAATCTTTTGTTAATACAGTAGAATAGACAGTTTGGATAAGTTAATTGAAACTGGAAGAGGCACAAATAGAGGCCTCCTGTTAATTTGCATGTGTAATTTTCATATATTCACCCATTGTTTAATTCTCACTGGGCTTGTACATAAAAGAAGCACATCCAGTGCTTTGGCTTCATATGGGGGGTAAGGGTGGGGGGCGGAATATCAACGAAAAGTAGCTACAGAGTCGGCACCCAAAGATGCTGCATGGTCCTCTCATTGTAACCGTGTACAATGCATAGCTGGGCAATATTTGGATCAGTTAATCAATTGAGCCAAACAGGGAGCACTGGGTACACACATCAGGTGTGTGTGCTGAGTTCATATAGAAATTGATGTCCCTCAGCTCTCATTTGTACATGTACACAGTACATTTATTTTTGGCATTACTGGTAATTTGTATTGTAGTGTTTTTGACATCAAGAGCAAGTAAAAATTCTAAGCTTCCTTAAATCTCTCTAAATTGTAAATTATCCTCATGTTAAAGCACCTCCTAATACCTAGCCCGACCTATCTTAACCCTTCTCACTCAGGGTCTATACACACCATAAATAGCATCAGACACATCTTCCCACAGCTGGACTGTCTTAATACAATGCATGGTAGTGCACCACACGGACTGGTGTAAATTGGCCTTCAAAGAAAATCTAAAGCCTAATGTTTTTTCCTTAAGTTTTGGATAAGGGTGGAGAATGGTTAAATCCTCCTCTTGGGTTCTTTTCTTGCTATTTGTGTCACATAAGGAGATTTCCATTTATATCCTGTCCTGCAGATTCAACAGGAGTTGAAAGTAAATCTTTCCAAAATTATGGAAATTTACTCTAGGCAGTTGTCACTGAAAAAGGGGTCTCCATAGGAAGATTTCCCTTCTTTTCCTGTTCTGATGGCAACTCAAAATTTAAAATCACTTTAAGTCCTTGTAAAAATGGTCACCAGGACACATAGAGAGGATGAATCTCCCCATACCAGGCACAGAACTGATAGGGGTTTCAGCTTCTCATCAGAAGAAAAAAAAGCTTTAGCTTTAACTACATTTTACCTCAGCATAGAAATGAGCCCTTCATTTTTAATTAATCTCATAAAAAATGTTTTCCCTCCGTTCTTTCTGTTGTCTTTGACTTAAAGCTTCCAATACTTCTATGCTTTTCAAAATGCTGGAATAAGAAATGCGGCTATTATCATAAATAAGGCAACCATATTTTTTGCTCGTGTTGGAATGGTTACTATTCTAGTATCTACACAGGCACAAAATAGGGGTTATGGGAAGTTGTATAGGAAGCAAAATGTTTATTTCGATATGACCACATTTGGCCGCAGGTCCACCAGATATGCAAGAGGGAACCAACCTCACATCCACAAAGCCAGCATAGGTAAGTATCTTAAAGCTGTAACTGTTTATTTTTTTGTTTATATAAGAGCAACATAGGGGAGCACAAGGCTAAAAGGTTACATTTTGAATTAATTCCTGAGCAGCCCTTGTCTAGTAGTCTCCATCCAGTGAGCACAAAAATATATAAAGAACACAAACACAACTTTAATGCAGGTCACACCACTAAAATAATGACTGTATGAACCATTAATATAGAACATATCATTTTATTCAACATTATAATTTCTCGGGCCCTTTCTTGTCTTATCTGTGCCTCCTCCTTTGGAGTAAGTAAGTTGATAACTGCACATGGCTCCCAAAACCAACCATATGCTGATGACACTGATGTATCACTCTGGATGTCACAAAACTTCTTAAAACTCAATCTTTAAAAAATTAAGCTATAATCCTAGATTCTGACCTCCTGATAAACCCTGCCTCCTGCACCTCTGTAACACCCTTCCTAACCAACGAAATGTCAAAGCTACGAATCCAATCATTTGATTTCTCTCGTCTTACTTATTGTCATTCTTTTCTCATTGGCCTACTTCTACACAGGCTACACCCCTTCAGTTTATCATAAATGCTGCTGCCAAACCAAAGAATCACATTCAAATTATTAACAACCTTTTTCAAAGCAATCCATAACTCTGCCCCAACTATATATCCAACCTTGTCTCAAAGTATCACTATAACTGTCCTCCCTGCTCCTCCCAAGACCTCCTGCTCTCTAGCTCCCTTTTGAACTGCTCCCATGCTCGCCTCCATGACTTCTGCAGAGTCTCTTCTATCCTCTGGGACTCCCTACCCCAACCTGTCCTGCTGTTTCCCACTCTCTCTGCTTTTAGGCGATCCCTGAAAACTCTTCTCATTAGAGAAGCACATAGCACTACTACCTCTACTTTTTCCCTCAACTCATCCCCACACAGTTACTACCTTTTGTTTCTCATGCCCTCCCTTTTAGCTTTTAAGCTCTCACGAACAGGACGCTCCTAACCCTTTTGTCTTGAATTGTATTGTGACTGTACTGTCTCCTTTTATTTTGGATAGTGCTGCACAAACTGCTGCTGATATACAGTATATATCCTGTATAATAATAATATTCGTATAATTATTATAGTATAGCATTAGTATTATCATTTTCTTTCCCCTGCAGGGCTTAACACCTCCACTTCCCTCAGAGATCTTGCTTCCATCCCCATATCTAAAACAACTGAATTGTGTAAGCTTAATTTGGTATCCCCTAGTGTGGATACCAAATTTTACCTTTTACCTGGAAGGAAAAAAAACATTAGCAGACCAATAATATCAAAAGATGGCTGGATCTTCAGGCACAATCTCACTGTCCTGAGACTCTCCAGTCCATACGCCAAACACATATTCATGAACAGGTTTTCTATCTGACCCAATAAAATCCAGCCATTCTTTCTGAGAGCAAACAGCTTATTTGTTGTGCATATGTCCCATGGACATGAGATTGTTAACCGATCCAGCTAAAAACACCCACATTGGGCGACTGTCACCTAATTTCTGTTGGTAACTTTGGGTAACACTGGAGCTGTGTTTATATTCTGTTCACATATTACCAAAACGAATTACTGTCATTCACCGCAGACCTTAACTGTAAGTGAACATTTGCACTACCTGTATTTTTTTGTGGCCAGTGGGACTTCCCCCTTGCACAGTCAGATAATCGGAATTTTTTTTAAATGCATATTTGGGTTGGAAACAAACAAATCAACAGCTGTATAATAAGTCAGTTGCCTAAAAGAGGAAGCTCAAGGAGTCTAGACATTCAAAGTTTGCACATAAACATGCCTCCGGTGAGTAAAGAATGAGGAAGTGGCAAAGCTTCTTATTCTAGAAGAATTATGCTGTATGGAATAGTAAAGAAAGCGTAAGCACTGCGAAAACTATGCTTTATACAGCGTAGGTGTCTAATCGCGTTCCGTGTCTGCTATGGGTAAAGGATTGCATTTGTGTAAAATAACAGGGAATCCTTTGCAAAGTATTTGATCTATACTAATTGTTTACAGAAATATAGACATGTAAGCCGGCAAAAAATAAGTTTTTGATTTAACTGTATTACGTTTTTCGTGATTAAGATTGGTTCGAATCCGAAATTCTGGTTAATTTCGGATGAGATAAACGATATTTACTAACGAAAATTCATTGCAGCAAAGTGACATAAAAAAAGTGACGTTTACTTTTTTCTTTCTAACTTTTGAAAGTCCACAAAAACAATTTTAAAAAAGCGTAAAAGGTACCCCCTCCCCCAATTCATACCAGACCCTTTAGGTCTGGTAGGAATTTTAGGGGGGACCCCAATGCCAAACAAAAAAAAAAGTGCTGGGTCCCCCCAAAAATCACTTGATCTGAGCAGCAGCCTGGCAGAGCAGGAAAGGGGGAGGGGAGAGCGTGCGGCCCCCTCCCTCCTGCACCATACCAGGTCACATGCCCACAAGATGTGGAGGGTGCTTTGCCATGGGGGGACCCCCTGGAAAAGCACTGTGTCCCCATGTAGATGAGGACAAGTGCCTTTTCCCCACAACCCTGGCCCGGTGTTTGTGGGGGTTTGCGGGCAGGGGGGCTTAAAGGAATGCCGCCCCCTGAATAAGTAAGAGGTAGTTGTTATCCCTATTCATTCATGGTATAAAATTCATTTCAGTACAGCGTTGCATGACGGAATAAACGTCAGTCAAAGGACTGCAGCGCTGAACACTGAAAAATGGCCTGGCCAGGAAGGGGGTCTAAACACCTGGTCTTGAAGTGGTTAAAAGTCATTTATTTGAAAAAACAAAACACAAGTCTTTTATTAAAAAAAAATGTCCATCGATGTAGTTCACATACTCAAAGTCTCTTGCTTTTGGTGGACACTAGAGGCTTACTGAAAAAGTGACAAGTGAATTGGCTCTGCGGGTGTCCTCTCCACCTTTGGTTCCGATGTTCCGGCAGGGGTGGGATGGGAGTTTGATTGGAGGCTGTTCACACCTCTCTCTCCCTCTCCCTTTCCTGGGAGATCCCTGGAGCCTCCTTCTTGGACACGGAGTGTCCTGGTAAGTAGTGGGTATCTATCGGGCTGGGGGGTCCTTATGTCCATTGGTTGGTCACCACAAATATTGATTTATGAAATGGTTATAATGAATGTTATAAACCTATTTATTATGGATTGAAAAGTAATTGTATGTTATTATTATTAGATTGGTTACCTCCATTCCCCTAAGGAAGCGAAACGTGTTGGGATCTATGCCTGATACGCAAGTTGGCCAGAATACCACTATATGAGATGACGGAACTAGCTGGATATGTATTTATGAATTGTGGTTTATATTTTTCTGGCGGCGCATATAGGCTTAAATGGGGAAAATCATGCTTTTATGACAAAAAACTTTTTAATGCAATCATGTTAAAATAATTTAAAACAATATAAACCTTCTGTGATTTGACTTGTGCAATGGTTATGACATCTCATTAAACCCTAACTTTTTCTTGCTAT